CCCACCCAGGAACTGACTCAGAAGAAGAGGATGGCTTCGACTCCCTATGATTTCATCTCCAACCCTACCAATCAATACTTCCCACTCTCTGGCCTCAAATTATCCTTAAAAAAAAAAAAAAACAAGTCTCTGAATTTTCAGGGAGACTGATTTGAGTAATAATAAAACTCCAGTCTTCCATTCAGCCGCTCTGCGTGAATTAAACTCTTTATTGCAATTCCCCTGTCTTGATACATCGGCTCTGTCTAGGAAGTGGGCAACAAGAACCCGTTGGATGGTTACAAAATTCCCTGGACAGAGTCCAATATGCACATACCGAGCATCAGTAGATTAATAAGGTCTCTCTCTAAAATTCATGACTTTTTTTAATGGGAGAAATTATCTACTAAATGAGGAATAAAATAACAGTGTCATATACTTAAGGCATTGGTGGGATGCAAATGTTACAGAAAGACAAGCTGTTTTTTAATGGTGTTTGTTATATTTCTAGTACAGCACCAATACACTTACATGGGCCAGAGGCATTTTATTCAAAGCCTTTACATTTCCAATACCTTCCTCGAAAATTACCCTCAGGCCTACAATTCTTTTGCTTTTACTAAGCCCTAAGCACCTGGACTATATTTAGTTTCTTGGAAATAAGAGACAAATTTGCTGATATTTTTAAAATTGTAGTCAGTTATTGTATGATTCTCCAAATGGCAAATGAATGATAGGGGGAGAAGAAATTAAAACATTTTTCAGCTACTTTTAAGTGGCATACTATTTACCATTCAAATACAGTCTGAATTAAAACACTGAATTTGTTACATGATTTTTCAGTTAGAAATTAGAACTTTGCTGGATAATTGGGGGGGGGGGAGGCAGTAAAAGAATGAAATTAACATTAAAAAGTCAAATTTAAAGAACTCTTTACTTGAGCTATTAATAGAAAGAACGAGCCCTTCTTGAAACTAAGAAAAAAATCCAATAAATTTCCTTAAACCAGGAGTGTAGCATGCCTTCTTCACTTCCCCTGCACTGGGGCCCAGCAACCAGAGATTTCATTTCATCCTGCCCACTTTGGAGATCCTGTCATTAGGTGAATGGAGACATTTCCTAAGACCATGAGGAAAAGAGAACAATGGCCTGATGGCCCAGAACCAGAACTTGCTTCTCTGAAGGCAATCTGCTCCACAGAATCTAAGGGTCAGGTGGTCCCCAGGCCAGGAGCCCTTAATACAGCTCTCTCCCATCTCTACACCTTTCCAGACTTCTCTGAGTATATTCAAGGGAAGGGAGCCCACTCCTCTGCTTTGGAAGAAAAGCTGACTCCCTCACCCACGCTGGGAAGATGCCTAGAGGCCTGAGCAGGAAGAAAACCTCTCCAAAGCTTCAGCATGTCCAAGGCAAAGACCTGTCCCCATGATTACACGCTAGGAAAACCTAGAGCACGGAACTCGCTCAAAAACCATTTTTTTCCCCTATGATGGATAGAAGTCCCATCCGAATTCCTACTGTTGAAGAAACAATCTCTGCACTGGCAAATGCCTCCTAAACCTACGCCTCTGCAACCCCCCATCACAGGGACTCTCCTCATCAGGGTGTGCTCCCTCCAGTGAGGGGAGCTTCCTGTGCCCCACATGGTGCCTTCCAAGGGCAGGGGTGATGTCCCTCTGCAGTAACTCCTGCCTTAGAACCTCCCTTACACAACCCCCGTTGGAGCTCTCTAAGGGTGAGGATCTAGGGATGAGCCATGGGAGCTCTGGGAAGTGGGTGGGGGAGTTCCTGCTGTCAATTCAGGCAGTCTCTGGGTTTACCGGCATGGAAAAAGCAAGCAGTGGGCAGTTTCAGGAGGGATCCCATTCCATTCTTGTCCTGATGCTGCCACTTGGACAGCCTGGTTAGCTTGGGCCAAATTTTTCACCTCCTTAATGTCATCTGCATAAAAGTACTCTCTTGTCTCCCTTGGGTAGTTGTTGTGAGTATTAAATGAATTAATATATGTAAATGGAGTCTGTGACTTTGTAAAGAGAAATGCTCAGGGCTGTTATTTAATATGCGCACATAGGCTCACATGGGTTAGGTTCATGAGCACACTCAAGAAGAAAATCATTTGACTATATTTACATGGAGCCAACCAACCACAGTCAACAGACTTGGTATTCTTCATCTAGCTTCCAAATGCCAACCATCAATAGGCTGCTTCAGAATCACATGCAGCCCTGGTAAAAACAGTAATTCTAGAACCTTCTCCCCAACTCAGACAGTCACAATCTCTGTAGTAAGCCCAAAAATATGCATGTTGATGGAGCTCTCCAGGTGATTCTGACATGCAGTCGGGTTTTGGTACCACTGTGCTCCTTTGGACATGTCATACACATTTCCTGTCTACATCAGTCACAGGAAATAAAACTGTTCTGGCGTTACCTAAGGAGTCTCTGTCTTTCTTCCTGTCTTCTCAGGTACATACACACTATAAGATACAGAGTGACGTTCATCCACCAGACACAAAATACATCCACAAATACGCACAATACGTATATGTAGACACACAAAGCCACACATACAGGGGGAAAACAGGAAAGAGAAAAACACTAACAACAACAACAAAAAGAAGACACCTGATAGTAAAAGGCGTCAAGATTTTCTAAGTCTATAAAAATTCATGGTTATAGAAGGATACAGAAAATGAGGAAAAGAAGGAATAAGATGTTAAGAAAAAGGGCAACCGGTTCAAAACTAGAGAATCTCCTCTTTTGTGACTGCACAGTATGATGTCCTGAATCCTGCTACTAAACCACTCTCCACCTCAAAGTACCACTCATTTGTTTGTAATTCTGCCTCGTCCAGGAACTTAAGTGGCCCCCTATCTCCATGTCAAAGGACAGGGACACAGCGTGCTCAGCACAGCAGCCCCCAAACCCAGCACAGAGCCTGGCATACAGCTGCCTGTGATAAATGTGTGCTGAGCACACGCCAGGATAAGAAGAGGCAGGAGAGGAGGAGGGACAAAGAGTGCACAAAGAAGGAAACAGATCTGTCATCCCAGATCCCTGGTGTAAACTAAGAATAAGCAAGCTTAAGGTAATGAGGGTCAAAGCAAAACAGAGAAAGTTCATGTCTCTGCAGGCATCATTAACTACATCACAGGGAGCAGAACCACCTAGGGAAAAAGAAGAAAAGCTCTCCAGATCTATGGTCAGGGGCTGCGTGAGAAAAGTGATCTGGTGCTATAAAGGCAGTTTGAAGGCATCGATCTGGCCTCTCCACCTCCCTGCCTGATCCTCTCTAGGGGTCCTCACATCCACAAGATCCTACTCCACCCAGCCCCTACACACCTCTCTAGACTTTATCCCTCCAACCTTCACACACTTGGTGCTCAAATTATGCCACACTCATACAACGTGCTGTGTCATTCCTCTGAGCCTGTTTCGTGCAGTTAACCTCTACCTGGAATGCCCTTTCTATCTACTGACAAACCTGTTTATCCTTCTCAACTCAGCTCTGTTATGTCCTCCTCCTCCAAGGAGCCCTCGGGCTCCCATGACACCCAGTGCACTGAACCATCTTAGCCCTGTGCACACCTCACACCCTGGTGCAATGAACTCCTCTCCCCCTGGAGAATAAATTCTCTCTCTCTCTACCCATAGCACCTAACACACTGCCTGAGCACACAATAGGTGCTAAATAAATGCTTGTTGCAATCGACTGAGCATTGGCAAGATTCCAGAACATAAGTGCTAAAAGACTTTGTTAAAAAGGGGAAACCGAGAGGCAACTTGATATACTGGAAACCCTGAGCGTGGAGGTTAGCGTTCAAACCAGTAGAACGACTTAAGGTAAGTGACTTAAAGACCCTGAACCTGTTTTCCTGATCTATGAAACAAGCATATTACCACCCAACTCCTACAACTACTTACGAGGAAGGCACCTACTATGCACCTGGCACACAGTAGGCGCTCTGTACCGTACTTAACTAAGGAGACTCCACCTCCCGCCCACATCTTCCTGTTTTTCAGTCTCCCATTTCCGACCGTAAGCTCCTCCAAGGCTTTTGCCCAGACCCCTAGACGACTGTACTGGACCCAGTTTATAAAGATTGCCTGGCTGGCCAGGAAATCCCCCTTCGGTGTCCCCGGGCCAAATCTGTGAAGAGAAAACTGAAGGCTCCCATGTCACGAAAAACTATGATCAAATAAATTACTATGCCTTTCCGCCTATTGATCTGCCTTTTGTCAACTGATTTCCAGTGAATCTTCAGAGAGCCCTGGGGAAGTTTTTCTTTTGCCCCTACAGGGCTCTGAATCCGAAGGTAAGAGTGAACCTATAGGGGGAACCTTCTGGCTCCCTCACAGGAACTGACTGGGCAGGAGTTGGAAAACCCACTTGGATTGCCATTTCCTCAACTCCCCGCCAATACCAAGGAGTCTGTTTTTACAGGTTCTTTCGTGGTGTTCTGGGCACATTCAACTTCCACTGCCACTGAGACGGTCGAAACAGTTAGAGAACAGGGGTGGCAGCCGCCCAGGAGGCTGCAAGGCGCTCGCCCGCAACGCACAGGCGCGGCGCGGCGCACCCGGCCTCCGGCCTCCCCAGGTCGGGCCTGGCAGCTGCGGGAAGGAGGTCAGCGCAGCCGCTGCACTTCGCCCGGGCGCTAGCACCGGCCGGCCGTGCCGCCTCACCCAACCGCCGGCGACTCTCTGGCAGCGCCCAGAGATCGCCAGTCCCTGGGCCGCCAGTCGGCAGCGCCCTCTCCGCCCCGGGACCCTCGCGCGCAGCTCAAGTTGGGAGCTCCGCTCCGCAGGCGAGCGCGCGCCCACCACCCACACCCCACTGCCACTTACGCACACCGCGGGTCCGGAGATGCCCCCGAGCGTTTTAAAATCCAGAGACATCACATGGTAGTCACATCCGGCGGCTGTTACCTGCTCTCAGCACCCAGACCCTCGCCCTGGTTTCCCGGGAGCCCGGAAACCCTGCACGCGGACTCCGCGCCAGAGAGCCGCCAAGCCGCCTACCTTGGGGGTCTGCACTTCAGGTCCCGTCGGCACCTCCAACTTCCTCTTGGTTACCCAGAAGAACAGCAGCACCGTGATCCAGAGCACCCCGAAGACTGGCAGAACCAGGCGACGAGTCAGGCGCCGCATGGTCCCCTTTGCCGCTTCCTCTCCGCGGCGCTACGTCCCTGGGGCACCCCCCGGCGGTCAGGGTTGGCGGGGCAGGAGTCCTGGCGAGCGCCTCGCTCTGGGGAGCGCCAGACCTAGGATCCGGGTGGAGGGGCGGCGGGATCCTGCAAGGCGCCCTTTCCACTTTGAAGAGAAGCTAGCCTGGGTGGGGGACGCGGGGCGACCCGAAACGTGGCAGGGAAGGACCGAGGGCAGCCAAGCTGGACACCCGCTCCAGCGCGAGAAGCGCGGTGGCTGCCGAGATGTTCCCCACGCCGCCACCGCGGCTGCTGCCGCCGCCGCCGATAGGGAAACTGACTCGAGCAGCGAGAGGGAGGAATCCGAGGCTGTGCCAAGCACCCCGGGAGGAGCACGAGGGCGGAGGGAGTGAGCCGGGAGGGCGGGCCCGACAGACAGGCCGACTCGGAGCGAGCCCAGGTGGGAGTGAGCGGGGCTCTGAGAGGGGGCGCTACTGCCGCCCGGCGACCGAAGCGCTCGGTGCTGTTGCGGGACCGCCCGCGCCGAGCCCTGGGTGCAGCTCCCAGACCATCGTGGGTTGGGGCAAGGCGTGGGGGGAGCGGTGCACTTGGGATGCCCGCCACCCCCAGCTGCCAGCTGGGACCCAAGAGCCGGCTCGCGCCAGGCGGCGCTGTGCCTGGGAGGACTTTCCCGCTCATCGCGGGGGCTGCACATGGCGCTCAAGCCGAGGTCCCACCCTCAAGGTACTTGTCCTACCACAGCCAGCGCTGGGATCCCAGGGTGCCGTCAGTGCTGCTGCCCCAACCCCGAGGTTCATCTGCCTGGCCACTGAGGGCCAAGGCCGCGTTCAGCCAACCCTGCAGGGTGTTTCTATGCCTGCCTGCAGGTGCCTGGTAACTTTTACTGCTTAATGGAAGGAAAGCTGAGCTGGTCTAAATTTAACTTTAAAGATATCCTTTAAAAAATTAAGGCGCAATTATCTCCCATGAAGGTTTTCTCTCCCTGTAAGCATCAGGGCTTTGTGCTTTCAAAAAAAGAGGTCCAAAGTTGGAGCAACCACTTGGGATTCTTGGAAAGTGACCCTGAGCAGGGGGATACTGGGTGCACAGGGTGATCTTTCAAAAGCCCCTTTTCCCAAGGTCCTTTGGGAAGTGCATCCCCCTCCCACTTGCAGATTAAAACCGCTTGGATCTAGAAGCAAAGCAAATTCTGACTCCAGTTCCCATGTAGGCTCAAGTAGGCTGGAATCATGGCCAGATCATTGACCAGAGAGTACTAACCTAGCTGTCACACTCACTGTGTGAGTCTTGGGTGAGTCATTTACCTTCCCCCAGCCTTCGATTCCTCATCTGTAAAATGGAGAGAAAATACCTCCTCTGACAAGCAAATGAGTAGTGGTGAAAGCTGAATGCAAGGTGCTGGTGTTATCTGAGCACTCAAAGGGAGAAAACCTTGCTCTGTCTAGGGAGCAGAGGCAGCAGGAACCATGCCATTTTTGTTGGAGGGTTGCTTGCTTCATCCAGTTTCTTGGAGAGGTGAAAATGATACACCCACTGTGGCAGCCATCATCCTCCCTGCCCCTCTCTCCCCACAGAGCTCAGTGTAGAGGAAGCTCCCATACCTCTGTGCAGGTGAGACAGCTGTAAATCAGGGCTCCGGAATTCCTTCTCCAATAAGATGTCTCCCCAAAGACATGTACTGAGAAATGGAGGCATCTACTCAAAGCCTCCTGTTTTGGGTACCTTATCTTTCAGCCACAGGGAAGTCCTGCCTCACAACCCCAGAGAGTTCTTGACTGAGCTGTAGATAAGAAGTTTGGGGTTGAGAACTGCAGTTGAAATTAAACAGCCCAGAAAAGGTGAGCACTGTTGCCAGCCCTTTCAAGATTTACCTGCGCTCTAAGACCATCACACAGAACCCCGGGGTTGATCTAGCGTTTGCCTTTATCAGAACTCTGCACACTGAAAGATGGGAGCAGGCTCCCCAGCCAACGCTTTGGCCCAGTAAAGGGCCCAGGTAAATGACCATCATGGGAGGAGTAGGGGGAGCAGCAAGAGAACTCACCTCTGCAGCATCCCAAGCACCTTGGACCTCTTTCAGGAGCCTCACCCTGGAGCTGCAGGTTCGGGCCTACAAAGCGTTTTGCTGCAGGCTCTGCAGGGGACCCCCCAGGCAAGCTGCTGAGCTGCTGTTGGCTCCAGACAGAAGCTGCAGCACAGGAGTCCATTGCTCAGTGCTTTGTAATACCGCTTCTGAGTAACAGATGGCAGACAGTTACACAAGAACACCGCCAAGCTTTTGAGATGGTGCAGCACCACCACACTGCTGAGATGCTGAGGTGCCTCATTCTGACTGTTTGGCATATGGGGAAACTGAGGCCCTGGGGTGAAGGCAGCTCCATGCAGGGCCTGCAATGTCTCAGAGAGTGGGAATTTCCTTCCAGGAATGATTTTCTTCTCAAATCATTATTTTGTCCTCTACTCAAGTGAAGAAGACTTCCTGGGCCTATGGAAGCTGTCAAGGGAATCCAGTTTTGCTAGGTGTCATTAGCTGATCCAGCCTGAGATCGTATCAGTTTAGGTTGTCAAACCAGTAAATGTCATTAGGACTGAAGTAGATTTCAAGTGGGACTTCAAACATCTGGAAGTGAAGTGAGTGTCCATGTGCGGGGCCCAGTTCTGTAGGTCTCTCCAGGCACCCAGTCTATCCAGGGGTCCCCCATGCTCAGGAATAGATTTGAAACTCTTTAATAACCAGCTTTAAGCCTGGGCAACATAGCGAGACCTTGCCTCTAAAAACAACAACAACAAATAGCCAGGCGAAGTGGCATGTGTCTGTAGTCTCAGCCACTTGGGAGGCTAAGACAGGAGGATTACTTGAGCCCAGGATTTTGAGGCTGCAGTGAGCTATGATCTCACCACTGCACTCCAGCCTGGGTGATGGAGCGAGACCCTGTCTCAAAAAATGAATAAATAAAATAACAAGCTCAAGTAATGCAGAGTATGGCTGATCCCAGCGGGGGATTAGCTATCAATGGCGATTAATCCAAGTTACTTTTTTCTTATCACTGCCAATATGGGGAAGAAAAGCTCCTAGCAAAAGATTTAACATGGCAGGAAATGAAAAAAATAAATACACTCTGAACTAGGACTCTCCTGGTGCCCTAAAACAGATCTACCTCCTCAGTCTTGATATTGTGGAGCCAAGCTCCACATTTCTCTGGGTCTGTGGTTTCCCATCTGCAATGTCATGTTCTCTCAAAGACCCTCCCAGCTGATGCATTTAGGGTTCTGACCTTTCTTGTCTTGGATCAGGACCTTCTTTATCACTCCTGTTGTTGGCGAGTTCTGTGTAAGCTGTTCTCTCCTCACAGCCGAAGACATTAGAGAGCAAATTGGGTGCTGGAGCAGATGTGAGTCATTCATGTTAGTATAAAAACTATGGAATGAAACCCATTACGGCCCGGAAAGCAGTGTAAAGCAGCATATGGAGCAAATGCAAGCTGGAAGCAGGAGGAAGCTGTGAAGTCCGATGCATATGCTCTGCGGCGGCTTTTGCTGTGGATTCTCACACTTCGCTTCTCATTTCCTGTAGCTGTCTCCCAGTCATTCTCACTCAGCCTGCTGCAGAGGTTGCAGCCTTTGTTCCTTTTGCATCAGATTCTCCAAGTCCCTCCTCTCTGCCCACTGAGTGACTTCAGGGAGGCTGTGTGTGCGCTAGTGACTGTGTGTTTGCGTCTTGCCATCTGCACACTTATTAGACCTGTCACAACCAGCGAGACACCCTCTGTGCCAACCTAATGAAATTTCGCCCACAGAGGCCCAGACAGTTTTCTGTTGAGGTCTTTACCTCTTCTGGGCCATAGGGAAAGGTAAGCGGTAGCAGGGCAGATTGCAGCACAATGAGAAGATGAGCCGCACACATGCTGGCCCAGCCCTGGCAGGGTTCCCCAGCAGCAAAAAGAGCAGCAGTGAAAATTCAAAGATCTGTCTGTCTTTATTCCACAGTTATACAGATACAGGTCTTTGGGCTGACTCCTGCAGTTGACTCTGTTCAAGTTCTCCACTGTAAATAATACGTCAACCCCCCTTTCCTCTGTGTTCCTCTCCATTTTCCTTGCCACTGTAGATCCTGTCAAAACCGCATGTCCCGGGTCTCCTGCAAGGCTTTCTTATAGAGTGAGTGATGGAATAGTTTAAACCACGTGGTCAATGAGGATGAGCTATTACCAACCCCTTACCTCATCTTTCTGCCATGTCGGTGCATCTTTGTCAAAAAAATAAAGCCAGCTGGATTTTCCTCTCATCTTTGACAGGTAGATGGGTGGCTTTATCTAAGGGATCTGACAGTCACCTTTCTGGATCTTTCTCTTTCCGTTAAACAACTCCTTTCACCAGCCCACTACCCTCAACTCCTCTCCCTCCTTTTATTCTTATATTCGATTCCTTGAAAGGGATCTGTATCTTTGCATTTCAAAAGCCTGCTTCTTTTACTGTTTGAAATGCCCCAAACTTTCTTTGTTCCTCACCCAAATGCCAAGTGTAAAACTTAATACTGCTACAATGATATGTCTTTGCTGGTTGTGTAAAGTGGTTTGATCTTCAGTGATGGTGCCCTGTGGCGATCTGAGAAATTTCCCCCACATCCCCCCGCCCCCATAGAATATGCAAAGTTCTAGCATGAAGGTATGACCAAGTTTGCCTAAAGAAAAGTAAAAGAGACCTGCGCGGTGGCTCACACCTGTAATCCCAGAACTTTGGGAGGCCGAGGCAGGCGAATCACCTGAGGTCAAGAGTTTGAGACCAGCCTGGCCAACATGGTGAAACCCTGTCTCTTCTAAAAAATACAAAAATTAGCTGGCATGGTGTCAGGCACCTGTAATCCCAGTTACTAGCTACTCAGGAGGCTGTGGCAGGAGGATGGCTTGAATCTGGGAGGCGGAGGTTGCAGTGAGCTGAAATCGCGCCATTGCACTCCAGCCTGGGCAACAAGAGTGAAGTTCCATCTCAAAAAAGAAAAGAAACGAAAAGAAAAAAAGAAAAATAAAGAAAAGAAAAGAAAAAGAAAATTATTTCCCTTGAATTATCTAGAGGAGACTCTGAAAGAGGGCAGCACAGGCGAAGAAACAGAAGGATCTAAGGACAGATGTCACTCCCCAGGTTCCCAATTTCAGACAGCCAAATCTGAGAGCCACCTGCATTATCTCTGACAAAGACAGTCTTTCCTGTTAAGCTTAAGCTGAGAGGCATGAGTGAAAGGTAGAAGTGGGCAGGAGAACTCAGATCCAAGAAGGAATAGGGAACTGTGATGGGGCCTTTCCAGTCTGGATAGGACTTCAACAGCAAGAGGAGCCAAGCATACCCCAGGAGTGGATGTGGGACAATCCAGTATAACCTCCAGTGACCGATGGCAGATTTTGTCGTCAAGTCACTACTAGATATTGCACACTGAGCAGGGTGGCTTTATGCCCCAGTTTGCTTGGGAAAATCCTGGTTTATTCTGATTTTTCTGGCATAATTATTAATACTGCATCATTTTACTTTCAAGAAATTTCTATTTTAGACAATAAATTAGAGCCCACTGTAATGAACAGAAGGACTTCTGGTGATGGTTCTAG